CCACCTCTGGACAGTGCACTAGATGGGGACTGTCTTCCTCTTCAGTTTCTGCCATTGGAGCCTTCGAATGGGAGGATTCTGGTTTTTCAACATTCGAAGCTCCGGTAGAGGCAACTGACACCTCTATTGGCTGTTCCCTTTTGCCCCCCTATAGTCAGGGCAATAGGGGACAATGTGGTCGGGGTCCCCACACTTGAGGCATTGGTCTGCTTTCTTTCTTTCTTGCCAGACTTTTTCTATTATTCCCAATTCTTTCCAAGGCTCTCCTTCGGGCAAGCCTGGATGTGGTGGGTACGGTTTGTCCCACTTGTTATACAAAGTGCCCCTTCCTTTACCCCAGGTGGAGTAAGAACCACGACCACCTTGTGAGGGACCATTTCCCCTTCCTCCCACGTAGTGGCTTCCTTCACCACCACCCCTCTGGGTGCCGTGACCTCGTCCTCGGCCATGCCCTCTTCCTTGACGCCCTCCCCCGCGGGCTACAACGGCCGCGTAACTCCCCTCCTGAGCTACCGGTCCGCTGGGTCCATCGAGACCATAATCTACCTGATCCCAGGAAATGGTATTGGCGCCTCCTTCTTCAAAGGTCAGAAGGAGACTGTCTTTCCCAGGTATAGACCCTGAGATTGTGCGGTTTTGCCATTTCTTTCCCGCTTGCAGATCCTTCTAATAATGGCAATAGTTTGCTTCAGCGAGGAAGCCGGCGTGATCTATTGCGATCTTGCCAAACTTCTCATACATCATCCCTTCTTCTTTGACGCGGGGATAGAGTTGTGTTCTCAGGGGATCAGGGAGTGCTCGCGCAAAGCTGTTCAAGATTTGGGCAGGTGTCAATCCATGGTCGGGGCATTGCAACAACTCATCCATAGTTCCCCTCAAGGCAGAGTTGCTTTTCCATTTCCTATCAGGGAGGTTGAGGATTAGCATTTCTGTGCGGCGTGCCAAGTTCTTATCCTCAAACCTTTCTCTAATTGCTTTGAGAAAGTCTTCGATTCGAGTCTGTTGCGAGAACTCTACCATTGAGTTGCATCCCGCCTCTTTTTGCAGCGAGATGGCAAAGCTCATGGCGTCGCCTCCCATGCATGAAGTTGCCATTAGCACCCGGTCCCAATATGGGATTCACTGCCCGTATACGTATGTTTCGATCGCTGCTACCCAATGCAAGACACTCTCTTCCTTCTTTCCGTTATAGGTCCATGGTAGTTTAAGTTTTATCTTGCTAACCTGCCCTGTCTCCTGTGGAAGTCTTCCCTTTGGATCCCCACTCCTTTTCCCCTTCTTGTCATCATCGCCATCGCCATCACCATCTCCTCCGCCGCCTCCAGCTCCCTTAATAAGTTTTTCAATAACCTCCGGCGTGAAGGTCTTAGTGACATGTTCGTCCAAGGCCCTGATGTATGTTTGCACATGCTGGTCAACATCTTTAGCTGACTTTTCCAAGAAGTTATTCCAAACGTTTTCGAACTCAACCCGATGTGTTTCTACCCTTTGCAAGGTCTGATGCATTAGGTTCATGTCCTGTCTTATGTAAAGGACGGCCTCTCTGAGTAGAGCAAGTTGTTTTTTCTGTCGCAGAGGGTTTTTCTTTTTGTGCTTCTAAAGCCTTCTGCAATTTTTCCCCTTCTGCCTGCAGCCTCTTTTTTTCTTCCACCTCTTGTCGTCTGGCCGCTAACAACTTACTGTTCAGCTCCGCTCTTTTCTCCTCCAACATCAGATTGCGTTCAACGGCGTCTGTCACAGTGGCCAATTTTGCAATGAACACGTTGCGTTCTTCTTCAGATTCTTTTAAAGGTTCGCTGGAGTAGTAATACTGTCCAGCCCAATCCAGCGGTTCAACAGGAAGCCGCTGCACTGTACTAGTCTCCGGTACATCAAGGTGACGACGGCGTTGCAATGTTTCTTCTTCCTGTTCTTCTTCTTCGCTTTCTTCTCGTATACTCTTCAATTATTCTTCTAACTCCTTGTCCATCTTTTCTTTCATCTTTCTCTTTTCTTCTTCTTCTTTCTGTTTCTTCTTGGCTTCTTTTTCTTTCTTTTTCCCTGCCAGCCTACGGTCAATCTTTGCCTGTTCCGCAGGTGTGGGCCCCGGCTTTGCTGCTCCAGACCGCATTAACATGCGGGACGTACACATGCGTCCGAACCCCAAGGGGAACATAAATGTGAACAGTGGCCCCACTAAGACAGAAAGGGCCAACAGGCCCTGGATGGGATAGTCATCCATGATGACGACCGGCACAGGGGGTCCTCCGCCGGATCACCACAGTACTATACCACTCCGGACTCAGTCTTGGCTTGCGGTGAATGGAGTACTACACTTTTTTTTTTTTTTTTAGACTGTAGAAGGTGCTGCGTATAATAAACACTCAATCAATCGGAAATCAACACTTGTGCGATGTATATATCTCTTTTTTTCTTTTAATGCTGTCTGGCTCCCTGGATCAAACTCCTGCAATGTGTTGCTTGTATTTATACATCCCCCTAGATGCTTGGTTTATACTAACTGGCTGGCTGTCTGATGCAGGTATGGAGTAAAGCGCAGAAAGGTCAGATGCAGACGGTTCACTTAATCAACCAGGCATAAATATTTTACTCCGTTTTTCTTTCTTTCGGGCTTAACTGGCCCTGTACATGCTCATCATCATGTTTGCGCTGCCTGGTACTTGCAGTCTGACGTGGCAGATAGCCACTTCCCACATCGATTCTTAGTCCCTGATGACGATACACAGCCTGCCTATCAAGAGGGGTAGGAGAGAAATCTACTCCTATTCGCAGAACACTGGACCACCTATTCTAACGTGACCAGGCCCTGACTCATTGCATTTGGACCATCCCGACGCTGATGATTCAGACTCTGACTCACTAGGACGATCCAGATCCAGACTTCGACTCCAGACCAGACCAGCARCAGTCACCTTCAGAGGGTCAGAGAGAGAGAAGGTAGGGGACACACACATACATGCAAGTTCAGGGAAAGGAGGTGCTTCTCTCTTCTTGAAGATACCGCCGATGATGCTCCACGACACTCCGCACGCTCCAGGTAAGTAGACTTCGTCACTTCTTCTTCGACCTGCCTCCCCCACTATACAGTACTTCTCCTCTTCCTCCCTCCTTCACTTATCCTCCATCACCACATCTTTTCGCCGGCCTTGATCACGCCAGCGCTATGAGTGCAGCGAGTATCTGCTCCGATACCAAATTTGCATGGGTCCTGAAGACCATCTCACGCAAGTGTGTACATGTCACGCATCATCCTTGCACACAATGAACCAGAGTCTCACACATTAGACCAAGGTAGATGAGAAGAGAACCGAGTTGCACAAGTTATATTATCAAATATATGATTACAAAGAGTTTCAATGATCTCTGAGTCCAGCGCTTATCAGCGCAATGTAAATCCCTTGTCAACTCATCCACATGGCTTCAACACATCAGCGCTACTTCTGCAGATTGTATCCAAGTCATCAAGGTGATCACCAGCGCCAACTCTGCAGCTCACATCCAACTCAGGTAAGCATCTTTCATAGCCAAACCTGGATTGAACACTCTCTGTCTCAGTCCCTTCCTCCTAC